GTTTACAGCATGAAATCAGATCTGTTAAAATTTGACTTGTTTATAATACTTTTAAATAACCTTATTAAATTTTTTATCTGCAAACAATGGAATGCACACATGAGTGTTATAATCCAATTTTGTTTTCTATTCGATCTGGGGCAAAATTATTATTCATGCATGTAAAACTGGATCAAATTTCAATGAAAGTAGATTTTTTTTATTTTTATACAAATGTGTGTAAAGGATCATTGATTTTCATATAAGTATTTATTGTTAGAGTTACAATAAATACAAAAGCAAACTGTTTGTGCTGATATCTGTTTAATATTGGATAACGGTATACTGACTTTGTATAGTAAATCTATTTAGTGTTTAACTATTAAAGACCTATGTAAATTTTTGACATTTATAAACTTAGCTAGATAAGACTGAAAGCTAGGTAGATTTTCTTTCAATTAAACGTTATGTTTGCTTAGTGGATAAGACAGCAAAATACTAAGGCGAGAATTTATACCCCTGATATTATACTCGTCAGAACAACGAGACTGTCAGGGAGAATTTATTGATCACATGGATATTTTAATGACTTGAAATTGATTAGCCATTGCTGATTTCAATTGAAGGAGGGAAATTATATGTGTTTTAAGTGTTAGACCTAATGGCTTAAATATGCCATGACATGTAGTAGAAAAATAACAATTCTCTTTGACAAATTTGCGTGCTATTGAAAAAGCAATTTACTTTATGAGGAATTGTTAAAATCTATTGTTACTTTCATCTAACTAATGTGTTTTTTTGAAAGAAAGTTATTCACATTATAAAGGACCATTATTGAAGAGCTGTCAATTTGAAGCATTTAACTCTTTAGTTTGATTTGGAATTAGTCACTGCCAATTTTTAGTGATTTTGGTTTTGAAAACATTGCTAAAAGCACCATGGATTTGGACTATGATCAGTTGAGAGATGTTAAACAGAGATTCTTTGATTGTTATAAGGTAGGATCATTCAATAGAAAAATAATTCTAAAAATTAATTTATAAAAAGTCATTGGTCATTTTTCTTAAAATTACCTTGTTTTCATCATCCATGTATCTTTAAAAAAAATGCAATAAGTTATGTGAACTTGATAAAAACATACAAATTCTTGATGTCAAGAAGTTAAAGATTGCTTTACTCCTGAAAGATCAGTGTGAACAGAAAGAGTAAAAAATGCTGACACTCTATCATGTTGCAAGATCTAATCATGGCTTTTAATTCACTGTTTGTGTCCAGTTATCTCTATTTGTTATAACCCTTGCAACAAAGTTGCAGATTGTATAATATTTATGACCTGTCTGACCATCAGTCTGTCTGTCTGTCTGTCTGTCTGTCTGTCAGTCTGTTATTCATTATCGCAGCACTGTTTTCCTTTCTATAGCTAATGGTTGCATTCATTTTTAACCTCTGTCTCTACATTACAACATTTTTGAAGTTCATGTCAATGCATAACAAAATCTGTTTACAATTTTAACAGAATGTAAGTATCTAGTTGGAATTTTGTTGATATTACTGTGTTATGTTAATTTATTTTAATGGTGCAAATAACAAAAGCTAGAATTTTACTCAACAAAAAGGTATGAAATAGGAACATGTGAATTATTAATAAGATAATTAATGTCAGGGAATTCCTAAGTAGAATAGATCTGGTAATGCAGTCATTAAACTTTTAAGAACGATTATTGTAGTCAAACTCAGAATTCTACCAATCAAATTACTGGATTTGGTGTTTCGAGCACACATTTTGTATAAGGAGTACTGAGTAAAGTTTTATGACCAGAAGTCCTAATAACAGGAGATTCTTGGTTTTCACAAAAAACTCTTGCAGCCATGGGCCCAACAATTTTTGGAAAAAAAAACCAATAGTTATTTTACAAGCCTGGACTGATGGGCTAGTGACCAAGCATGAAGATGGATACTAATGATTTTTTAAATTTCTATATATACACTATAGTACTTGAGCCACATTTCATCATAAGTTTGTACTGATCATTGGCATCGAGCCTCAGTACAACAATCAAGAGATTTAAACTTCCAGACTATAGGGTATCAGATATATAAGTCAGTTTGGTCAATGAGCTTATGATATCCTTTGTCCATCCATCCATCCATCCATCTATTTTGCTTAATGGAAGTTTTTTTTGTCTTGCCTGCTATGAATCTCACAGAACAAAGGGCATAGGAATGCTAATCTGGTAAACAGTTTCTCATATACTATAAGCAAAAGGCCAACAATATTTGGTGTATGGAATGATTGTAAGGTGGACATGTCTGTCTGGCAGGGTTCATATGACCTTGACCTTATTTTCGAATATGGATCTAAATAATATCAAGTTTATGTGATATCTGAAGTAAAACCTTAATCTCAAGACTTTCAACATAAAATTCAATTATGATCGGTAAAGAATATGAGACATCTCAGCAGGTGCATTTTTCTTTAATTGAAATTTCTTCTTTTTTTTTCTTGTGGTCAGTTGAAAGTATTACAGCTTTTTTTGATGGGCACATATTGCTTTTTATCGGAACAATTAAGTACAAAATTTATAACTTTAAATTTTTGAAGCAGAACATTTTACTTTAAAGATAACATTGTAAATATCATGATTAGAAATTAATCTGTTTAAACTAGGATTAAACCTGGATTATTGGTTAGTGTAAAGGAATTAATAATATGTTATGATATTCCTTACTTGATCAAGGGGGTTTTATCATGGAGGTCAATTGATACAATCAAAATGTTAAAAAATCCTGTTTTCAATGAAGCTGAGGTAAAGTGGGTGTGTATGTGTGTTTGTAATGACATTATGTTTCAAACTCTGAAGTTTATTTCTTTCAGATAAATAAGTTATATAGGATATTATATTTTAACAGCCATTTAAACAGAAATGTTGCTATGATATAACTTATTAAAACAATATAATATAAGTTTATGTAAATATACACCAGGTTTTTGATAGGTTTATTGTTTATCAAGTATTAAGGGCTTACTTTAATGTTGATTTTTTGTACTAGTTAAATATGTACCGGTACTTGAAATTCCTAGGTAAACATGTTGTTTTTTATTAAGATAGTTTGATATTTATGACAGTCACAAGACAAGTGGTGACATATTTATATTGTTTTTGTCTAATTCTTTGCAGATTTATACTTTCCCTGTGTCTGATTATTATTATATACTTGACATGTGGTTCATTTGATCTCAGTTTTTCATTGGTCAAAATACAACTATGGTGTCAAATTTTCTTGTTTTCCTCTGAATTTGCTATTGTGATGTCACAAAAAAAGGAAACCATTGATGATGACATCATATAAAAAGAACACATCTTTTTACTGATCATTGGGAAAAAAAATAAGAGCGTGTCTAGTCTACATATGAAGAAACAGATTCCACCACTGAATATTGTTCAAAACCATATTTCTCCACTCTTGACAATTTAGATTTTAAAATGCTCGGCAATTAAGCCTCACATTTCAAATTTGAAAATTTAACTGTCTGGAGTAGAGAAATATTATATCCCACTCGATGCCGTGGTAGAATGTATGTAATGAACACATACATGATAGGAGGGGAACTTCTTATTTTGTTTTCATAAAGGAGACAGTGAAAAAATAATTAGCAAGGCTGTCTGAATTTAAATCTGTCTATTTATAGCAAGTGTAAAACATGGATAAATTAAAAGTAATTTCTTTTATGTTAAGTGAAACTTCATACTTACATTAAAATGTTAAATGCCATTAAAATGATCATTATGGTAAAATTTTAACACATCAAAACCATTTATTTAAAATTGAAAATTTGGTAAGAAGAGGTGAGAATTTAATATAATTTAAAAACTCACACCTAAGTGCACAATAAAACACTTATGTTTGATTAATAGTTGTGGACCTTATCATTTTATTAGGCTTTCAGATAACAAATTAATTTAATGATAACATCCAATGTTTAAAATCTAAACAACAGTTCCTTTTACTTAGATAAAATGAAATATTATCAATGATTTATAGATTAAATTTAAACACCTTTTGACAGGTATTTTGTACAGGTATACACATGTATTCCCTGATTCATAGATCTATACAGTACACAGGTCTTATGAATGGAATGCTTAGTAAAATCAATTACATCAAAAAGTAAAATGGCATGGAGAGAATATAGTATTAAGTCCCCTGGTACCCCATTAGATTTATATACTGGTACTATATACTCATGTCCAGTACTTACATATCCATTGAGTGTTGCACTGAGTAATATCCTCACATCTTGGTCCTTGGTGCACTCACAAGACAGATGTCTTCTTGTCAACTTTAAATGCAAAGGTGCAATATAACCACTCAGTAGAACTCAGAAGCAATGTACCATTGGCCCAATCAAAGTTCTTCCTCCAGTAATTTGAAGGATGGTTAAGATACCAAATCAAAGAAGTCCCCTTGTTCATTAAAGGAACTGTACTACAACATGAATTACATTGCTTGAAAAATAAAAATAGATAAAGTTATTGTTTAGATAAAAGATATCAAACATAGACCACATGCACCTATAGGAAGGTTATTTACCAAAAACATGCTTTGTTCCTGGTTTTGTTTTACTACCAATTGCACAACATGTATTAGAAAATCTAGCAACAGATCCCATGCTTTTGCTACAATTTCAAGTTCCAGGATTGACTGTGACTTACCTCAACTTTGCACTAGTTGACCTTATAACATTTGAAAAAAAGCACTTTTGGTCTGTGATGTCAAATGTTTCCTGTTCTGACAGCGAACAATCTCTTAGTTGATGCATTGATTTCCAGACATTTTAGTCCTTATTAAGATGAAGAACAGCAATTGAAGCCATATTCCTTATTTTCTATTATCTCTTATATATCCCCTTATATCCCCATGTAGTCCTTCTCACTGATTCAAAGATGATGGTATTCTTGTGTGATTTGTCATGTAATCTTTTTGCACAAAAATTAAAAAATATATTATTATACTTTCAGGAGTTGGAAACTCAGCGTCTACAAAATCGACAATCTGTTCATGACCGTATGTTGGCGGTTGCTAGAGCTAAGGAGTCTATAAGACAAGACATGCAGGTTGATATGGAAAAAGTCAAATCTAAAATGAAAGAAGTAAGTTATTTCTGTAGGGAAAAACATTACAGGATCCAATGGGTCTGGGATAAATGTTTAATTCCTTATGAATAAATTGTTTTTTACATTGAATAATTAAACAACCTACAGATTTTCATAATTTTAAACTGTATGCTGAGTTATTGATCTACCCTGTAATGACCAATTCTCTGGTACAAAATATGTTTAAACTATCATATTTTAATAAGCCATCTGCATGATTTTTAGAACATCTAAATCATAATAAATCTAACTGCATGCTAGTATGATATAACTGGGAACAAGGGAGATAAATCTAACAGGGTGGGGGCTCATTGGATGCATACTTGAAAATTATAGTTTTCACTTCAGGATTTCCAACAAGAAATAGACAAGCTACAAGATACTATTAGAATGCAGGAAGAAGAAATCAAACAATTACGAGGCGAAAGAGCCGAAGTGTTAAAATTAGCTAAAGACAATCAGGGTTCAGAGAGAGTGGAAAGAACTATAATTAATGAAATAAATGAAGAGTGTCGGAAAAATTCACATGTCCTTGGAATTAGTCCTCGCAAAGTTAATATGACAGAGTAAGTTTATAGTTGTTTTGGCTTTAAGGTAGTGTAGGAGTATGGCCGTCACCTTTGACCTTACCAGATCAGTAAAGATTAATAATTGGAAATAATTAGCCGAGAAATGCAATTTAATTGCATGGATTTTTTTATATCCTTTCATCAAGTAAATGACTTAGACTATAAGTGTGTCTAGCCTTGATAGCAATTGACTAAAAAAAACAGGACATAGTCTCTACAAAATGCACATATAAACAGTCTTAAACATTATTAAATGAGTACATTGTTCAAGTTCAGCATAAGTAACTTCGAAGGTTGCACAAATTGCTTGGTAAAAAACTGCTATTTTAAAACTTTAAAGACGGATTGTCTATATCTATTGTTAGTATTTATCACAGAATTCAGGAACGGAGGTTTATTGTTAGTTCTAGAGATAATGATATAGAATTAAAAATTAAAGTTATTAAACCTTCAAAGCTTTGATGAACACTTAGAGAAGTTCTGTAATATCCATTAGAACATACAAAATAAGTTGGTCTTCATTCAGATAGCAGTTGCATATGTGTAAATGGTAGATGTGCAGTATACATCAGTAAGACAACAACCTAACACCACCATAAAACAAATAAAAAATTTAAATGTTAACAAATGGTTATCAGTGATAGATAAGGGTCTATTTGACCATATGTCATTTGAAATGTGTAAGCAGCTTTCCTTTTAAATCTGAGTGACGGGAGTTTTTAGTTTTTATCAGATCTATCTTATTGAAGTAAAATGTATTTCAGTTTTCGAGAGAATGGTTATAACTCTCCTGGGAGAATAAGAACACCAACTACAGCAGCCTTGGTAAGTTTTGGTTAGATTTGTAACCTGGACTTTTTGTACAAATATTTAATCAGGAATGTATATACCAGAAGCACATTGTGTGTTACATTATCACAGAAGGTTTTCCTAATGTCTTTTCTTTTTATTTCTAGATCTTTGTCTGAAAATAGCATGAACAAGTTGCACTTTATTGCATGTTTTTTTCTTTAATATAACTGACAAAGGTCACTTTTTTTATTTTTTTTGTTTTTATTTACCATAGTAACTATAGAAGTATAAACTGTTTGTTTGTATTTTGTATTATTTTACAGGTTTCACTGTTTACAAACTATTATTTAATTTTATTTGCCTGTTGAATAATCTTTGTGCATGATTCTTATTTTTTATTTTGCTTTGGATAAAAAAAGTTGTGCATTATCAGCTTTAATTTCCACCCTTGTTAATTTATGTAAATAAGTTTCTTTAAATGAACATTAGAGTAGCCTCCCATTACCATAGAATTTTCATTGTTAGATGGGTACCAGTAGATTTGAGGATAGAAATTCACAGGTTTGTTTTTGTGTAGAATAAATATATCCATATATCCCATATCGTTCCCTCCTCTCTCCTGACAAACTCTTCATATCGTTCCCTCCTCTCTCCTGACAAACTCTTCATAAATTTCATTACTTTAAAACTGCCTGTCAGCTTTTTTAATGCATTTTTCCTTTGCTTAATATGTTTTTTTAGTCTGCAAATTTATGTACCATAAGAGTGAAAAAGTCTTGTGTTGAATGGCCTATGATTCAGTATCCACTATTAAAAAGAATTATGCCCCTTGAATCAATGATTACAAACAAGATGAGCAACCACATGAATAAGGAACTTTTAAGCTTATTGTACTGCTATTAAGATCTTTTGATTTGATGAACATTATTTATGAGTTAAGATTAGGGCTTTAACAATTTCTGTTACATTTTTTTCAATTTGCAAATGAAGACTTTGCTGTCACACAATGTATACTTTAGATTGATAAATGTGTTATGAATTTCAATATTTTAATACAGGGAAAACCATTAGCAGGGCCCAGTAGCCTAAGCTGCTAAATTTTGGGCATTAAGAGGAAATAATGGTGTTTCCCTGAGTAATAAAAGCTTACTTTATTCTTACAGTAGACATTAATCCAAAATATTTGTTAAAAGGGAGCTATCTCAAAGATTGCCTTTATCATACAGAATTCATTCAAATGCAAGACTTTATTTCTTAATTTCTCAGAAAATCGTTTAACTGCATGCTCTCATTTGTGAACTCATCCAGTTAGGATTACTTAACTGAATAGCAATAACCTTATTAATCTTGTAACTATTTTAGGGATCTGCATATCTTTTGTTTCTACAAGCTTAATTTTAAATAATGTATAAGTTCATGTGTTATATGTATTATGTGTTATGTTTAAAATAAAAAAATCTTAGTATACACATACAAATAATATCAGTATAAATACTAACTAAATATGCTTAACAAAGTTACTAATTAATTAGTAGAAAAAAATATCTCATATGCAGTTGTTGAAGATATATTTGCCTCATGAGTTATTTACTGGGAATTGTAATACATGTATCTCTATTTATTATTGTCATTATTGTTATTTAACTTTGTAGCATTTATCATTGGAATTATACTAGAATGACATGATTGTTACTGTTTCATATTATGTGTTTGTATAGCTGCAGTATTTAGTGTGAATGCCTGATTTATAACACAGTTCATATGAGCCATGAAAACATACTTGCTTTATTTTAAATTATTTACATTTCTAAATAAGAAGAAAGAAATATATTAAAGATAGTATCCGAAATATGAAATAAAAGGGGGGATGAGTTTCAAGCTGTTTATTCTTATGGAAAAAGGGACATGGTTGTATTTATTCTGGATACAAGTTTGAAACTCATAGCAAAGAAATGCACTCCTATTTCTGTGAGGTCTTCAATGTGGAGCAAAAGCTTAAATCTCACTATAGGTTGAAGATGGCCTCTTGCACTGGTTAGAGCAGACATCTTTGCTCAATGTTGTAAGCACTACATCTGTGCAATCAGAAAGTAAAAATTTTCATGGCTTAATTAACTTTCATATTATATTATGTTTAGTTAATATATGCATGATTGCAGTGCATGTTTTTAACTGTAGGCTAACTTACGAGCGTGCAATCAAGAACTACGTAACCATGTCCAAGAACTGAAACAGGAAATGGAACATCAAAAGAACGTGTTAATTCAATCACAGCGGGAGAAGGTACTAACACTTCATATATCATCTAACAAATATATTTATGTTGGAGCAAAATTTAAACGTATATAAACCATGTATTTTGTCTAGAACTTCAATAAACCTTCACATTTTACAACATTCTGTTTACAAAATAAAAAGTGCTCTTATTTTGTAACAAGTGGAAAAGTTATATGAATATACAGAAAATAGAAAATTTTCGCATTTTCAGGCCTTGGGTAAGTGACTCCTGTAGTACACATTTACTCAAGATTGCTCAATGAGTTAGAAAAGAGTCCATTTTGGTATGCCACACAAGCAGAATAATTAGTAATTTTAATATTTTTTCAAATATCCTAACTTTGATAATTAAATTTCAAACATGATTTCTTTTCTCTATACAACAATGTATGCTTAGTGTGTCCATCATTTAACAAATGGGAAAAGGTTTCTAATAGCTGCTGGTTTGCAATTTTACAAAGCTGTGCAATTTTTTTTTTCCTATTAATGTAAAATAATTTTCTGAGTTATGTCCCTTGCAGTCAGATATTGTTCAAAGTGTAAAGAGTCAGCTGGAAAGAGAAAAAAGTTATGAATTGGATAAACTGAAAGAAAAATTTGTCAAGGTAAGTTGTTAAAAAAACCAGAATACCAAATTTTAGACCCAAATTATCAAACTTATTGTCTATTGATTTATAAAAGATATTCATGATTTTGACTTCTTATGGAATATTTGCCAAATACTATTTTGTGCTGATTTCAATATTCATTCATTCTTATTATTCACTCAGCATTTAGAAGACAACACTCATATGTATTTCCTGATTAAATCAGGAGTTATTGCCGTTTTAATACTTAGATATGAGTTGGGTTGTTAGCATTATTCTTTTACAATTGATGTCTGTATTAGTCAAACAAAGGTTTCTCAGTTATCTGAGTATCAAGCAATAAATATTTAATTAATACCACTTTTATCAAATTGATACTAAAACCTAGAAAATCTAGCATCAAACAAATCAATGTTATTAATATAAAAGTCGTGACATGTAGATTAAAAATGCAAACATTATTATTGTTAGGGCTCTGAACTACATGTACTTAAAAATTACTTTATTTGTATTAAAAATCAATGCATGAGCTGGTGATTGGAAGCGCTGTCAATGTTAAATGTGTATTGTTTTATTGTTGCAATGAATGGTGCACACAGCTTGACAGTAGACATATTTTCACTTGATGGGATATATATATATATTGCAATTTAGATTAGTACGTAGTGATAATGGATATTTACCAAATTGCTCATAACAGATAATGCTTGATTTAGAATTACCTTAGGACAGAGGGGACTGCATATACAGACACTTAAGAGATAAATGTGCAGCATTAATACAATTGATTTATTTTTAGAATAATAACTATAGATGTTCAATTTCTATTCCCTTATGTATCATTTTCGTATTAATTGAATTTCATATTTAGACCTTTAGTCAGAAGCCTGAAATAGAAGCACCAATATACTTTACTTAAATTACTGAGTTGAAATTATGCATAAAAATAAAAATTAATTTATATTTTTCAGGTTTATATAAAACTATTACAAAATATTGTTAATCAGTAACTTTAACCTTTTACCTTGCTAAATGACCTTCTGTGTATCACTGCACAGCCTTGATACACAAAAATATAAGACCTTGCCAATAGGATGATGGTGTCAGATTAAAACAGAGTTAAAATGACAGTTATACACAATCACAGCATGTATCCAAGCTCATGCTGTTTGAATCACTGTAATTCTGTCTTGACCTCCAAAACAGTTTTTTTATTTTACATAAGTACCATATATGTATTCATTACTATCCCAAAATACATTATATTAAGATACACTAGTCATTCTATAGAAATATGTCCTCCTATTTATTGATATATATCTCTCCTTTATTTTAGGGCAACCCTCCAAATGGTTATAAACATCATAATGATGTCCGAATGTAAGCCTTCAGCTAGCCTTAGCTCTTTATGCTTGTTTCCTTTATATACCCTCTACAGTCTAATATGTTTGTTCTTCATTGTAAAGTTTGTACTAATTATAATCATCTGCTAATGCTTGTATCCCCTTTTTCCGCCTTTTTTACTCAGACCATAACCGCATGTTTAATGTCTTTTTTTCATGTGAATGATATTTCTTATATGAACTGGGACTATTAAATTTAGCTGAAAATTAGATTGTTTGAAAACTATTTGATATTGGAACTTGTGAGCCAGAATTTTAGTCTACTTTTTATAAGGCAGAAAAAAAAAAATTTGTTGAAAGGAGTTACTAGTAAGAAACTAACAAAAATGTGTTTCCTTCAAAATAAATTCCTGTAATGGAATGCAAGGAATGTTTTATTTCTAAAACAATATTGATATGCTTATGCTATCATATGAGAATTGTTCTTTCAAAGCTGATACTTTTTACTTTGATATCATGTGGCTATATTTTATTTCATATAAGAATTGTCATATAAAAGTTATTCAGTATAATGGATATATATCATGTTTTATTAATATCTTTTTCATGCAAGTAACATTGTTTCAGTTTGAAGCAAACTTTTAGGAAATATTTTACATTTTTTGCAATTTGAAAATAGTGTATATGTATAATTTATTTCAATTCATGGTTAACCAAGTCAAATACTATAGAATCTTTATTAGAAATTATAATGGACACTTGTTAGAGTATAAATGGATATGAGGTTAAATCTTTGCTGTTTTTTTTTCTGAATTTGGAACAATGTTGCTTCATGTTAAAATACATATACTTTAATCAAATTCAAATAATGCATGATCAAAAATGTCAACAGGGGTAGATCTACCTTGAGAGGAGGAGAGCTGGAAGGGTAGTTATAAGAAATATTCTAAAAATAAGGACATAAAAATGAAACTTAATCGAATATTGCTTATTTTATTTTATATGATGCAAGATACTCCTATTAAAACAAAGATCTACCTCTGATTGGATCCTGACTAATATGTTTAGTTTAATTTGCAGTGTATAATATCTTAAGCAACAATAAAAATGTTCTTAGTTATGGTTTGATTCTGTTGTACAAAGTAAAATCACAAAAATGCTGAACTCCAAGGAAAATTCAAAACGGAAAGTCCCTATTCAAATGGCAAAATCAAAATCTCAAACACATCAAACGAATGGATAACAACTGTCATATTCCAATGTTCTAGTCAATTTGCATCATATATTTGTTATTTTTTGGTGGGTAACTTTTAAAAATGTTCATTTTAGCAATTTATTGCAAATTTTTAAGAAAGGAGATGTAAAAGGTAATACAAATAAAACCATAAGTTGAGATAATTTATTGTTGCTTTATGTTCAGCTAACATACATGCACATATAATGTGGTGAAGGATTTGTTAGTTTTGCTAAAGGGAGATTACTCATTTGCTAATTATTTCCCTTGATTTTGCTCTGTAGGATCATGCAGATGAAATAAATAGTATTAACAAGAAGTACATTGACCGAGACAAAAAGTACATGAAACTCATTCAGGACAAGAATGATGAACTTCACAAATTAAAAGAAAACTTTGACAAGTGGAAAAAAGAAACTGATTCATGGCTTCTGCCAAATGGAGATTTTGACCCCAAGTGAGACTGAAAACATATATAACTTCAGCTTAAATGTCATATCTTCACACTGCGTTTACGTAGATGCACAATTGTTGGTTAATGTAGCAACCAATTTTATTTAGAGAGTAGATCTAAATGATTTAAGCATAGTTAATACAATGGAGATATATCTCACTTAATGGAAAAGTCAATTAATCTTGAAAACAAAAGCATTAATGGCAATTCTATAATTCATATACTGTAAATTCAGAAATTATTGCTTACATTTATTATTGCGATTTTTGAAGAATGGACAAAAATGCGAGATTAATTATTGTAATTTCAGGAAAAGCTGCATACAGATATATGTATCAGATATTAGGATGCAAGTTCTTATTATTGCGATACTCACCCAGACGTATTATTCGCATTGATAAAAACCTTGCAAAAATTTCTGAATTTACAGTATTTTGAATTTGATCTTATTGTAGATCTTTTGAATGCTTTTGGATGTTTTACAATTTATTTTAATGGAACTGTACATTCCTGTTTGAATTATACATGTTGTAGGATACTTAGTAGAATTACAATATTACATAAGTATGTAGTTTTAATTAATTGATAAACATATTCTATGAAAATGTAAGGCAAGATGATATTCCTACTCAAATGTTCAATATCCTGAATAACTACAGCAAGATATAGTATGTTAAAGCACAAGTATAATATAAATTATTGTTTTAAAACAATTAAGATTTCAAAATTTTGACTTTTTATTCAAGTCTGATTAAAATTCTGTAAATGTGATCTAAGCAATACAATGCTAAGTTTTTACTTCAGTAATGATAACTTCACAGAGAATTATTTTAGTATTTCTGTAAAAAGATTTTTCAATATGATGATTTTAATCCATTGACTTATTTCTGTTTTAAAGGCAATATACAAAGTCAGCACCATACGAGTATGGACCAAGAACGACAGCTCAGGAACAAGAATTAGAAAGATTAGAAAGAGAAATCAAAAGACTCACTACGGTATGTGTATATCGCCAGGAAAAGTAATAAGTCTGCATATATCCTATTCTAACAACAATAATAATGATGATATTAAGCATACTTTTTAACAATACAAGGGAAAAAAAATCAAATGACTTAAATTATTGAAAGTTTAACTTACCTTAGTAATAATCTGTCAGACATATAACATGTTTGATTTCAAATATATGATTCCATCCACTTCTTTTTGTAAAAATTACTAATTGTGCTTTACTTCCAAAATCAAGCTTCAAGTTATATTTTTCAAGTGAAAAACTTTATCAAAATATAAAAGATAGTTTGAAAAAAGAATTTTTGAAGAATTCTTTCAAGAATATTGACAAGTTATGAGAGAATTAAAATGAATAATTTCAAGTTTAGGATAAATTAATGGTAGGTCTTCTTGTCCAAAGCTATTTATAAATTCTGCTTTGCTTTTGTGTTAGTATGTAAATATAGAAATAATATATTGTAATTTTCATATATTCAGAATTATAGCATGCTAGTTTTAAACTTTGTAAGCATGTAATGATATCTTGCTAGTTCTTTTCTTCAAACTTACCCAAGTTATATGTGTGTTTGACCGTACAAACTTGCTGAATCTGTTTCAAGTACTTAGGGTGACTTGCTGAGATACATTGCATATTCACTTGTATTCCATAGAAGATCAAGTCTACGCATTGTACAAGTTTCAAGACCTTTTACTTGTAATGGCTAATTAAAAAAATTATGAGATATGATATGATTGCTAATAAGACACCTATCCACTAAAGTCCAACTGACAAAGATTTCACCAACCAAGGCAATTATGACGAAATTTTATAAAAGCGAATAAAATAATTTTTTTCAAGTATGGACACAGAGTAGTGTCACAGGTTCAGCATGTTTGTATGTTTGTGTAAATAACTTTTATGTGTGCATGTGTCTCTCTTCTCTCTCAGAATCAACAACCTCCTCCACGGTACTACAACTCTTATGTCCAGGATGATATTAGTACGACTAAACTGGTCAATAATTTACGGACTAAAGTAGCAGAACTTGAACATGAAAACAGCAACTTATCTAAATATTCTTATTCTGTTCCCGATCTGTCAGATCCTGTCTATTACAGGAGGGTAAGTTACTATGGTGATTGGATTGGAATTTCTCGGTTGAGGAAATATTTTATGATGTACCTTATACAATGTTGAAAAAAAAAATTGTATATTTTTTGCTTTCATTTGAACAATGTTCATGGATTTTTCTTAGTGTTGCTGTTTTGGCAGATTTTTTTTATGGTTTTACTAAGTAATTTTGTTGAAACAAAAACAGTTCTAGTAAAATTTTCACTTTGGAAAATTAATTTAGTACTAAAAACTAATCAATAATAGTTAATGTTATCAATTACATGTAATTAAAAACAAGAAAAGTTCAATTGCCTATATATCCAGTATTTATTCCTGTAAGAACAGGTCTGGCATCCATTTTTGGAAGAATGGCATTCCTAATGTGATTGTGATCATTGTTTTATATATTTATGGATAACATGTCTTTTACTGAATGCTGTGCCTAAACTTCTAACTTCTTCCTAGTGACTCTAATAAATAATACATGTATGTTTAATTCATTGTAATGTACAGTGTAACATAGATTTTATGTCACCTATGTTGTTTAAACCATCTTAATCTTAAAATTGTTTGTATGTTCAGTGCATGGCAAAAAGTTGTAATTGAGGAATACTTTTGGCCATGCACTGTGCATTAACTTAAGGGTAAAAAATTAAAAGTAAGAAAGGAATGCAATCTTATTTTAATGGCCTAAACTTCATATGAAAAAGGAGATAACATTTAACTTTTCTGTTAATTATATATTGTATTTTGTATCGGAATATTTTTGAAGATAAGTTTTAGATTAAACTGTCCATTTTCCATCTCCACTAACCGAAAACTGATATACTGTTGATACTTGCTTGTAAGTCAGTAATTTAGGAGTAAGATAATGGATTCAGAAAGGGGTATTGGCATTAAGGTGAGATCTAGCGCCATGGTAAGAAATTCTAGGTCTAAAAGGTCAAAGAAAAAGTCTGATGCAAGTCCTTAGGTCTCTTTCTAATTTTTTTTGAATGTTTGACTTAAAACTTACTAACAGTTGGATGCTTTATTTACTATTTTACAGACAATGCGATCAGCTTCTCCTACACCTCAGCAAGAAAGAATTGTAAATATTTTAGAACAACGAGCCAAGGAGGCAGAGTTTGAATCTGATACTCTATTAGATCAACAACAACGAAGTCGCAATATGATGTCACAGAAAATGCAAGAAATGACCAAACTACAAACTTCATTAACATCACAAACAAAAGTATGATACATTTTATTTCTTAATTCTTATATTAACAAAATATTCATTCAAAATTATAATGGCTAATAATCACATTTTCTTAAAGCTCTTACTCAGACATTTAAAAAAGTTATCACTTAATGGTATCATACATATTAAAAAAAGTTCATTTAACTTCAACATTATCAACAATACCTGCATGAAATATGAATGTTGGGTTTGTTCAAAAGGAATAAGCTGATACATATTTCTAGAATTGAGGATTTAGATACATTCTTTTCTTTGGAGATATTACTTTTCTTATGCCACTGTATATCAACATTTGAAAGAAACTTTTTTTCTGCTTGTGGAAGATATCATAGAAAATAATTTCAGCTCATGTTAAAAACTAAATTAAAATTGTTCATACAGAAGAAGAAAGAAAAATAAGAAGTAATAAAATAGACTAATGAACAGAATACAATTTTAACCATAAAAAGCTTATGTTTTAAATACATGTATACTCAGTCTGTTGTTGAAGTCTATACAGCTTGACCTCTTTTGGTATTGTGTGTGTAGTTGGGTTGCTGTCTGATTGACATATATACACATCTATTTAAACTCATATCATTAAGGCTGAATTGATACTGAACATTTTCCGTTTTCTTTTTACAATTATGTACTGTATGATATAATTATAAATTTTCTTTTCTTTTCAGGATTTAATTCATTTAGGGCAAGCTTATTCTAAATTGAACAACAGTTATAGATATGGGAAGACATGAAGACATTTCTATAGACTTTAGTATTAAAACAATTGTAGCTTTAAGTATGGTGCCAGATATATATATATATACTGTACAGTTTGTAAAACATATAGCTGAGTATATATCTGTTAGTACTAGTTTCTGTATACTCATGTGTTGTGGTGACAGTGCTGAAATATACCAATGCTACTATGCAATGATTATGTCAGTATTGACAAGGTTACTTTGTACAATGTATAAACATGTCCCTAATTGAAAGTTAGTATGCAAAATTCCTTGTAAGAAAAATAGAATAATCTATTTACCAAAAATTATTTTGAAAATGTATTTTATTTTAAGTTGAATGGAGTTTAAAATGGCTTGATATTTCAAAATGGCATTTTTAGGTCAGATTTGTATCCATCTTGAATGTTTCAGTTCTTGATAACTTTATGGAATTAGTAGACAAATACAGTTGATTAATTAATTATAAAAATTCTGTTAATTGCTGAAAGTGGAGAAAATATTATTAGTATTATCTTTGTAGAACATTTCTGACGACTTTCTTGTGGAAAAAAAAAGTTGAATAAAAAACAATGTTTTTCAACCCTATCATATCACATCTGATACAGTCATAGACAATATTAAACTAGACCTGTGAAAAACCAAATATCATTTCGAAAATGTCTATTTTATCGTAGCACTGCCAAGGTTATGTGTAAGATTTTAAAAAATTCTTGTGTTTTGGAGCCAACAATGTCATTCCATTAAATTTTTACAACAGGTGCTTAAATATCACTGTCAAGATAATTGAGCATTTCTTATGCATGAATATATCCCATGATAGTTTGAAATTTACTGAACAAAGATATGATATTTTAAGTAGAGTGAATATCTGTAGACCCTTTTATTTGATCAGAATATTGAATGTTTGGAGGAGATATTTCTGCTATCACATGCAGTGAAAGTCCATCAAAATACTTTACACTTTAATGTAGTATTAATGTACACATATAATTTGTAGCAATTTGTGAAAGTGATATTTATGTATATACATTTACCTGTTATGTTTGTCTTATTATGTTGTTATTGCTATAAATAACCTGGACAACATTTCTCAAAGTACCCACAAAACATGTGCATTACTTTTAAAAAGTTTATGTGTCTTAAACATCTACAATGCAGTTATAAGATGTTTGTAATTTCTATGCATTTGATATGAATTGCTAGTTATGGGAAAAAGCTTGTAACTTATCAGTGTTTTTTTTTGCAGCAGGATAGTTCAATTTAAGTTTAATCAAGAGGTTAAAAAAATGTAATACATGTATGATGAAATTGAAATTTAAAAAAATAATGAGGTAAAAATCTTTCTTTAAATGACAGTGATTTTGACTTAGATTTACCAGAGTTCTCCCCCTTGTAAATTGGTTTTCAACAACATGCAGTTTGTTTAAATTGGGCTGACCCTTTGCGAAAAGTAAAAGACAAACAAGAGACATTTCCAAAGTATAGTACATCTTACATATGCCTTGTTGGATGGTGTCCAGGTTATGAGTTATTTTGAAAGCATGTAAGTTTGTCATATTGTATAAAAGATAATTCATAATGTACCTTCCTCATTGTAATATGTAAAGCATTGTTGTTAGTATATATGTGTGATGTATCACTAGTTTATTGCTGGAAAGCAGATCTGAATTGTAATATATTTGTTTGAATAGAAATAGTTTATCAATTAGTGCTTTAATTTAAGATTAGTAATGAAGAAAGGATCCAAGGACTTCTGTGATAATTTTGTTTTATAGAATTTTTCTAATTTTTATACAAACAAGTTTAGTTTATTGTACAAAATATACATATTTGAGTGATTTAGTTTTTTATAGAACTTTTGTATTTTTTTTTTTCAAATCCGTCCTTATTTATGTGCCATTTAATGGTTTATTTTATTCCATTTTAAGACCCGTTGTTTAATTTGAAGCCGTCCATTTTTTGCAGATCATATCTCTAATTTTATTTTGATGACTTATTTTATTATTTATTATTTTCAGAATGGTCTTGTAACTAAAAGTTTCATTTGTATTATCCTCATGGAAAATAACTCTGTATACATTTAAACTTTAAGAAAGAAATTTATGTGCACATTTTTATTTTGTTTATGTAGTGAAATTTTTTCTCTGTCTGTATTTTTCTTTTATATATTAAGCTAAGCCCACTGATATTTTTTTTTTCAAATAATATGTAAAAAACTTTTATTTTTGAAACTGCCAAGCATTATTTCTTTTACTTTCAATAGTTTCAGCGTATCTATTATTTGATAACATCAAATTGTTTACTTTTATATATTTTTTGGCTGTAAAGTTACATTGTATCCTCTACCTTAACTGTGTTTTGTGAGTTAACAATATGGAATAGTGAGGTGTACATATTAAAAGTTACGCAAGTTAATGAAAGAAATTCTGTACTACCTACAGTTTTATCAACAAAAAGAAAAAAAACTTAATTTACTCAAAAAAGTACCTAGCAACTAAACATTTTCTTAATCAGTGTAAAGTAAACTATCTTATTACACCAGACGTGACTTCCTTTAAAATGGTAGTAAAATTATCTCCCTTAATTTACAGAAAGTATCTAGAAATCATATATTTTTGGAATCAGTATTAGATACCATATGACACTCAATATTGCTTTTTTTAGTTTACAATACAATTGCAAAAAATCTTTGCCCTCCCCTCAAGCACTGATTAAAATAATTCATGGTTTATATGTTTTAGCATGCTGCTATAATAGTTATATATATATATATATATAGAGCAATGTTAGTCCTCAGGGAAGTTTACTCGGGATGATATGGCCTTGTTTTTATTCTCCAAAATATCTCCTTTAACATGATTAATTTTCCATTGTGATACTATGTATGAAAGAATATTTGTCAAATGTGTTGAGTTGAATTGATTTTTCCAAATCAATGAAGAAAATTCATATTGAATAATGTGTATGTTTGAGAAGTTGTATCGATGGTCTGTTTATTAATGTTTTTTCTTTACTACAAATGTCTCATACAATTTCAATTACAGAAATATCATTTTACTTCCATTTGTAAAATTTGATTTCAAGAATAAATGCTTGTACATAAAGGTTAACTTTCAATTATAATCTAGATGATCAAATAGTTTGGTAATATATCCAAATCCACTTTTAAACCAGGAAAGAAATAGAACATCCAGAAGTTAGTGATATGTGACTTCATAAAATCCTGTGTTGGTCATCAGTTGAATTCCAAGCTTCTTACATTGAAAAAAAAAGGATGAAGAATTAGTATTATGTGAGAACTTGGGATTCAATTACAGCTGTTATGGAACTTTGAATTTATAAAAAAATGTTATGAAATTGTGAATAATCATAACATTTTTAGAAATACGTGTCAATTTATCATAACTTTGTGATATTGTGAAATTTCTGATTGAAGCAATTTTAAAATATATGACAGAACTATACTGTGATACAAGGTATTATGTATTATATAACTATATATTTATACAAATGATAATAAAATATTTATTGAAGAACAATTTGTTTTAACACATGCAAATAAAAGTAGTTGTTGGATGTATATCAATGGGATGACAACTAGTCAAAACACAAAGAACACAAACAATATCATATAAAGTTTAATATAGACACTTTTTGATCTGTCCCATGTCTGAACAAATTGTTGTTATATTTCAGAGTCGGATTTAGGGCTCCCTTATGGAGCTACATTAATGGTAAATTCAGATTTTACCTGTTCCACTCCAGACGTCTAGTTTGGTAGACCTGGACCCCCCTTTCTCAAAATCCTAGATCTGCATCTGTATTTAACAGAGAGCTAAGAGTTGCATCATTACCAAATTTAAAAATAAATAAAAACATTTAGGTTATAAACAACGAAAACAGCTTAGGAGGTTCCTGACTTTGTAGGGGCACATAACCATTATCCTCTTATTATCGTCTCCTTCTTATATGCTTTTCTCAAATGCCTTCTACAGTGTTCCAGTACAACCTATTGATGTTCTGTGAAATTAGGTCACTATGACCAACATTTATTATGATAACACTTTGGTAAGGTTTGAATATTGGAGTATTTCTTAAAAACCTATGCTATTATGTCAATATATTTATGAAAGTGTCTGGCTTAAAACTTGTTAAATCATGGTATCTATGATGAGTTTATTCGCCTTTATAGGTGCTGCTCAGCAACATTTGAATCACTATGACTACATTTCAAACTGAAGTCATGTCCTTCACTTATTGCATGTATGCCTTATGTGTAATAGAACTTTAAAATAATTCTCTTTGGTGAACATTAGGTCACAATGACCAGCTATTCACTATTGAATAAGTTTAGATCAGTTTTGCATTCACATTTATATTTCTATAATCTGTAAGGCAATATAAACATGAAAAAAAAAATCTGTTTGAGTAGTCACATTGTCCTTACACCCAATGTATGTTTATTTCATTCATCTTTAGACAAATATTGTGTGATTTTTTCCATTTTCTGTCCATACCATAAATACCATGAACTTTTTATTATCTAAAAACTAACATTAAACATGATACATTTATGACTGAAACTAAACTGTCTGAGATCCTTCAGAACACAGAACACTTATTAAGAATCTTTGTTGGATGTAAAGTACTTTAATACTGGGAATGATATTGAAATTGTAAATATTGAATTGAATTTAAAAGAAACAACACATTGACGAGCATCAATACAAAATAAGATAGTAACAAAATCGACAAGTAAAAGCTAATCATAAATAATCAATTACCAATTTTTATTTGCCTCTTCTAAAAAATTTTGAAGGATCAAGAATCTTTCCGATAAACATACATTATCTCCTTGTGTCTTCTTTTGTCTGTGCATGCACCCGCCATGAGAATTCACACTCGGTCAAAATTTCACAGCCGGTAAAATTACAGATCAGACGATTATACTGGTATCTCAAGGTATAAGACCACAGAACATGTCGCTAGTGAGTTGAGACACCGACACATCGTATCAGTCAACCAATTCGTGATTATGACTGTTAAAGTTATGTAGTATAGTTCCATATAGTTTATTGAAAAGGTATAATTGCATGAACATTTTGTTGTGTATCTTTAAAAAAAGTATGCCAAATTACAGTTTTGATTCTAATTTCACGATTTGAAACATGCAGATTGCATACACAGTTCAACACTAACAGCCAGAACAAAAGTATTCAAATGTACTCAAATACCTTTTTTCAAATCATGTTCACACTTTTTCAAACGGTTATGTATCCAAGGTTTTAAAGTTAACATTTCTGTCTGACAACCAGACTCCTGAATAATAGAAACAACAAGGTAGAATTATCTAAATTAAACTTTATCCTGATTTGGCTTAAAATTTTACCAGATTGTTGAATCTTAAACATCCGGTTTTTGGTGGAGTTCGTGTTGCTCAGTCTTTAGTTTTCTATGTTGTGTTTTGTGTAATGATGTTTTTGACTTTTCGTCGTTTTTCGTTTTTTTGTCATGGCTTTGTCAGTTTGTTTTCGACTTATGAGTTTGAATATCCCTTTGGTACTTTTCGCCTCTCTTTTTTGATAATATCGTTTTATCAGCAAAATCTTCGGACCTGTTTTTTTTTTAATAATACACCGAAATATTTGTATTTGCATGTATTATCACCGACGTTTTGTTTGTAGTTTGAGCCAACCGTTTATTTATGATATATTTTTATGTGTGTTCTTCAATCTTTGCAAAGCATTCAGATAGTGCAAGAGACCAAATAAATTTTGAGAAATTAAGAGTAGATGGTCTGCATATATAACATTATTGAGTTCTATGTTATTAATGAATTGTTAGCTTTTATGTCTTTATAATCAGTAAGTCACAATAAATATATTAAAAGTGAACTACTATCAACACCGAAGCTACATATGAATTGTCCACTATAACATTTTATTTTTTGTGTCATATAGGAGTAATACCACCATTGTTTTTCCCTATTAGTCTTTGTTAAATTGGAAATTTTCAAAACATTGTGCAGAATTTATCTTTGTTTGAAATAAAAAATACTTGGCATGAGTAAAGTTTTATCCTGAATAAAAGTGTTTTTACTCCGCCACATTTTTTATTCATCTCCAAGTCTGGAGCCTGTAACTCCGTAGTTGTCATCTGTTGCTTTCTATCATATTTGTTTTTCGTTTACTTTTATAAATAAATCTGACCGTTGGTTTTTCGTTTGAACTGTTATACATTTTTTCATGCCGGAACCTGTATTAGCTTACTACACGATATGGATTTTTGGTCATTCTGTAGACTATACGGTGAACCACAGTTTCTTATATCCCTTGCTTTCTTTTCTGAAATATATATAGAATAATGGCATTTTTGTTTTTGATACTGACTTTATCAGCAAGAATATCAAGCGAGCCCGCAAGGGCGAGCTGATATTCGAGCTGATGAAGTCAGTATCAAAAAATAAAATGCCATTATTCTTTTTATCGGCAATTTGTCTTAACTGTATTTTTTTTGTTCAGAATATGAAGTAAAACGAAATAATAAGTAAAACTACTTTTACGCGTACAAAACGTTGGGATAGTTGTTCGGTTGTATGAATGAAGTCGCGTGCATTTCATTGATAAATTGAAACGGACGGACATGAACACGTGACGTTGCTGCACTGATACATGACGTCATTGCCTAATATTTTCGAGTATCAAGTCCAGTCCATGATCTTCCAAATATTAGGCAGTAAGATCAAAGGGAAATGTACAAATTGCCGATAAAGTGAATTATCTCATTGGCAATCATGTTACGTCTCTTTATTTCTATATTACCTCCTTACACAATATTTTTTTGAAATCCAAAAATCAAAACAAACAAACATGTTTCCATTACACACATTAAAATATCTACGTATCACAAAACCTTTCAGAACTTTATGTCCTCAACGATCATCAACTTCGTACTTTATTTGACCTTTTCCAAAAAATTGATTCGAGCGTCACTGATGAGTCTTTTGTAGACGAAACATGCGTCTGGCACAAAAAATTCTTTAAGGTATCTATGAGGAGTTTGTTTAGTATTTTACTTTTAAAAAGTGACCATTGTTACAAGGTAGTATGAGCTATAAACAAAACATAACAGACATTTTTTCATACTTTGTCAAGTAGTAATTTGCACCGTGCTATGTTCAAAAATGTAATAAAAATGACAGGTCGAAATCAAATATGAATAGAAAACACTTTTTAATATTAATAGAAAATTAAGAAAAATAAAAATGAAAAGATGCGTCCGAAGCGCTTTTCTGGAATTACCTTCACCCGGAAAGCTCAAAGCCGAATATGCTAAAGAACCGAAACAGTCGAAGAGTTATATGACCAAAAAGTACTTAACAATAAGAGCCAAATCCATCTAAGGTCAATTTTGCCTTACGGAGTTGATACCTTAGTTTTTTAATAATTCATGGATTCATAAACGGACAATTTAAAAAAAAATGTTCTAAATCATGTCAGTATCGAAGAACTAACAATTAAGGTGATGATATCTCCGAGGTCGTATAGTCCACCTGCAGCGGTATCGACACAGTGCTGTAAAAAGAAAAACGAATGAAGAAAAAAAGGACACTGCTTAATGATTTTTTTATAAATGTGGCTTTATAAATAGAAAACATACTGTACATTCCTTTATAAACTTTGATAAGCTGACTTAATTTTCATTCTAAGGTTTGTATATCTATTGCTATTAATCAATCAAAAAAATCTCTGCATTTGTAAAATACTTTCAAAACAATAAGCTGAAATCACACACTATTCATTCAAATGAACACCTTTTGAACATCTCTAAACTACTATCGCGTTAATTTACAGAATAATTGCATTTCCGCCTTAATATTTGCGTTTTAAATAAAAAAGAAGATCGGCAATTTTCTGTAATATCACGATCCAAGATGGCGGAATACTCCCATACTACTTTCAGTTTCAAAGAATTATATGACTTTTCAATCTTTCCTTCTTTTTTTTCTGTCATGGATGTTCATTATACTATTATTGTATATATTTATATTGTATTATGGAGAAGACAAGTATGATTTTCTTGTGACTAATTCATTTTCGTTTAATTTAGTAAATCAAATATGTTTAAACTAAACTACTTTAAGTTGTACATAAAATTTGATTTCAGATTTGTCTCGAGAGTATCATCAGCTTTAAGTAGTCAGTGACGATGCATTGATTTGATTTATAACATTGATATCTGTCTTAAATTATTCGTTAATGAACTGATAAAATGTTGAGAAACTAAGGGACAAATTTGACTTCAAGGGGAATTGGCTATCCATTTTAGGTCCCCTATGGTCGTCTAGCTCCCCAGGTATTAATACATCTTTGGCTTTCAATTTTTGTGGTTTCATTCACCTTTTCAGATTAAGACTAACCTAGAAAAAGTTTCGAACCATGTTAAAATATTGGTTAAGTGACAGTCATGCATGGTTTCTCGTTCTTTGATAACAGAATAATCATCTGAAATAAAAACAATATGATTGTTTTCTATCGTG